TTTGGTCGATTCCGGTTGGTTGAGTGAGGGCCGGGGGCTAGTTTTCCTTGCTTTCCCATTGGCTGAGATAAGGGCAGGCTGAGTAACTGATACATTCTGTGGCTTTCCTGGGAGAGGAGATAGAGACACAGCTATCAGTTCCATTCTGTCCTTTCAATAATAAAGAGCAGTACCGGGAGCATGGTGGCAGCCAGTGCAGGGGGACTGCTATCATGCCTTTGCTCCCCCTCCCAGTGAGATCCTTCCTGAGCTGCAGAGCACTGGGCATCCCCACTCTCCCACGGCCCTCTCCCCACTCTCCCACAGCCTCTGGAGCAAGCTCCTCCGCCTTTGGCCTAGCCCAGAGCGTTCTTTCTGTCCCACCTGCACTGGAACCCGGCCTTGCCCCATGCCACTCCCTAGTTTCTCCCGCAGCCCTGGGGCGGTTTAGCCTCAGGCAGGCCTCTGACCTGCCTGCCTGCCTGGTTGCCCCTAACTGTCCCCCCTGCCAGCCTGGTTGTCCCTTACTGCCCCCCTCTGTCGGCCTGGTTGCCCCACGCAGCCTGCTGTTCAGTCATTTGGTTGTCAATCACTGACCCCCTGCCGGTCTGGTCACCCCACACAGCCTGCTGTTCAGTCATACGGTCATCCCTCACTAAACCCCTCTGTCGGCCTGGTTGCCCCCCACTTTTTCTGGCCTGATTGCCCCTAACTGCCTCTGCCTCTTCCCCGCCACCATGGCTTTTTCCGGAAGGATGTCTGGAAAGTCTCCCGGAAGGTCTCCTGGTCTAATTAGCATATTACCCTTTTATTAGTATAGATTGAGGCCCTCTACCATGTTACTAGCAATGTTTTAAGCACAGGAAATATGGCAGTGAATAGACAGACTAAACTACATATAAAAATACTAGAGACCCGAAGCACGAAATTTGTGCAAGAGTAGGCCTTCCTTCTCCCAGCTGCCGGCACCAGCTTCCTTCTGGCTGCCAGCAGGCACCTGGGACCTGGGCTTCCCTTGCAGCTCCAGCTTCGTCTGGAAGGTCATCCAGAAGGACGTCCAGAAGGATGCCTCATCTAATTAGCATATTATGCTTTTATTATTATAGATTTTACATTAGGTTGAATTATATGAAATCGCCAACATGTGACCAAGTTTTAGTTATAGAAAAGCTAATCTCATGTGATTTAAATATATGTGTATTTGAATATGTAAACACACATATTTATAAATGCATATAAGATTACTAATGCATTTTCAATTTACCTAAATATTTACTAATTTTATTGTTTGTTGCTTCCAAGTCTATTTGTACCTACTTCTCTCTGGGCTCTGTTTCCTTTTCAGATCCTTCATAGTTCTTTCATTGAGGATCTGTGAATGATATACTCTCTTAGTCTTTCTTTAAAAGTAACTTGTTACTATTGAATAATAGTTTACCTAAATATAATTCTTGGTTTGCCATAAACTTACCTTCAGCCTGTTAAAGACATAGTTCTGATAAGTCAGCTGTCAGTTTAACTATTTTCATTTGTAGATAATTAGTCTTCTCAGTTATGATACTCTGTCTTGGATGTTCTGCAGATTCATGATGAGGTGTCTGCTCTGGATTTTTTTTTTATTTTTAAAACTAGAGGCCCAGTGCACAAAATTCGTGCACTGGGGGTGGGGGGTGGGGCTGTCCCTCAGCCCAGCTTGCACCCTCTCCAATCTGGGACCCCTCGGGGGATGTCTGACTGCAGGTTTAAGCCTGATCCCGGCAGTCAGACATCCCTCTCACAATCCAGGACTGCTGGCTCCTAACTGCTCGCCTGCTTGCCTACCTGATTGCCCCTAACCGCTTCTGCCTGCCAGCCTGATCGCCCCCTAACCTCTCCCCTGCCCGCCTGATTGATGCCTAACTGCTACCCTACAGGCCCAATAGCCCCCAATTGCTCACCCCTGACGGCCTGGTCATCCCCAACTGCCCTCCCCTACTGGCCTGATCACCCACAACTGCACTTCCCTACTGGCCATCTTGTGGTGGCCAT